TAACATAATATATATTCAATATAATATATAATATATATAACCATGGGGATCGAACCCAGGACCTTGCGCTTGCGAGGCAGGTGGTGGAACTACTGAGCTAAATTGCCGGCACACAAACTCCCCTTATAAGCAGCTGTTCAGATTCACACATGCTTTCTCTTACCTGCCTCTCTCCCCTTTGATTCCTTAGTGCTTGCAACATACACATCCACTCAAGACTTTTCCTTTCTCCGTGGCCCCTGTCACAGAACAATCTGTGCCAGGTAGCTCCTTCCCTCAGACTTTTCTCCTGCCTAGCACCACAGGTCAACAAACCTCTGCAGGTAGGTACAGTGAGCCTTTGTTCCTAGGGAGGGTTATGTACAGGCCCAGCTCAGGACATCAGACTTGGTCATGTACTCAGTCCTCAGTTTTGTGATGTGTTCAGTACGTTAAATCCCAGCAAGGTCGTGGCCTTGCCTTCATTCCCATTACAGTTTGAGAAGAACTAACTTCTAGCCTTTTGTTTTCATTTTTATTTGTACATGTTTGTAGTACATAACTACACGTATCTTGAAGAGTTGGTACATGTAGATAACACATCTTAATTCTTTTTCTGTTCCCCTCCATCTCTTGGTCCCCTTCCTATTTGCAAAATGTTCTGGCCTGAAAGTGTGCTTTTTTTTTTCTACAGTTTTTATTTTTTATTAGTATATGTTTGCAGTATGTGAAAATTACCATATTGTCCCCCAAATAAGACCAGGTCTTATTAATTTTTGCCTCCAAAAACACAATAGGGCTTATTTTCAGGGGATATCTTTTGTGCATAACAATCTACATTTATTCATGTACAAAAATTACATTTATTCAAATATAGTCATGGCCGGGAGTGGTGGCGCACACCTGTAATCCCAGCACTCCGGGCGCTGAGGCAGGAGGATCGCTGTGAGTTTGAGACCAGCCTGAGCTACATAGTGAGTTCCAGGGCAGTCTCAACTACATAGTGAAACCCTTTCTCAAAAACAAAAAACAACAACAACAACAACAACAACAACAAAAAAATATATATATATATATGCAGTCATGTTATCTTCAGGAACATTGTAACTCTCTAAACCCCAAATTCCAGCCTGAATTAATTAATTAATTAATTTATTTATTTTTCCGTCTGAATTTCTTGCAGCTCCATTTTTGTAGAACCATTGTCCCCAATGATGACCTCTTGCAGGCTGGGCTTCATTAAATCAAGTGTTAATTGAAGACTTAGGGGACAGGAGTAGCAACAAAAATGATAACAGTTAAAAATGATGGGTCACACAAAAGTGATGAAAAATTGTGGGCACCAAAGTTCTGAAAATGTTTATTTATTTATTTATTTATTTATTTTGAGACAAGGTCTCACTGTGTAGTTGAGACTGACCTGAACTCACTATGTAGCCCAGGCTGGTCTTGAACTCACAGTGATACTCGTGCCTCAGCCTCCCAAGTGCTGGGATTACAGGCATGCGCCACCATGCCTGGCTCAGAAAATGTTTAGATCACACAAGTGCACTAAGAATGTCCGCTAACAACTTATGATGTATTAAATTATGAAGATTCATAATAGACAAAACCATGTCTATATGCATTTATTTGTGCATTGTGTCTGTACTTCCAGTTGGTCATTCAGCACTAAATCTCGAGTTCATTAATTTACAAAGGCGTTTACCTCTTTGTCCAAAGGTGTCTGCTTGGTATAGTGTATGTTATCATTTTAAATTATTAATGTCAATATTATTTATATTTAATTGTATAATAATACTATTTTATAATCCATCGTGTTTTGCAACAGATGTACTAAATGCATCCATCTGGCTGATAATCTTTTTTGAGACAAGGTACTTCAGGCTGGCCTTGAACTCTCTATGTAGCCCAGGCTGGCCTCCAACTTACAGTGATTTTCCTGTCTCAGCCTTGTGCATGCTGAGATCACAGGTATGCACCACCACACCTGGCCTAAAATACTTTTTTTTTCATTTTGTAGATATTTATCATATATATGTATGTACACACAAATATGTATGTATCTTACCGGCATATATTTGTATGTATCTGTTGCTCTTTGTTTTAAAAGGGATAAAGGAACAACACCTGGAAACTAGGATACATATTTATTATACAGGGTGAGAGAAGCAGGGCAAAGGGAAGGGAGACCTCTCTGGACAGACTTGCATACAGTTTTGTCTGTATGTTGGTAAAGTAAAAGATAAAGCTCTCATTTCCCCAGTGTGCATACATACTTTTTATAATTACACCTCTCTCCATCCTGTGTGTTACTCACTAGATGCTGGAATCTGTTAGGTCACCTTCAACCTGCAGAACCCTTAAAACCAGAGTGACTCTCAGAAGGTACAACTACTCCTGAGGCATGACAGCATCTCCATTCCATTGTCTGGAGGGATGCACAGGTCAGAGGTCAGGGTAGATACTTTATTTTATTTTTTTGGTACCAGGAATCAAACTCAGGACCTTGCACTTACGAGGCAGGCCATGGAACCCCTGAGCTAAATCTCTGGCCCCGGGGAAGATAAATTTTTAAATGTAAGACTTTGTATTTGTAGACTTTTTGAAGTGCAGAGCAACACCCCTGTAATTCCATAAATTCTACATTGACTCTGACCTGTCTCCTTTAGAGAAGCAACAGAATCTCTTGCAAATGAACAAGGGGAAGCATGGTAAGTAGGTTTCAGATATGCCATAAGTTTTGAGCAATTCTGAAAAGCCTATTGATAGGGAAAACTGTTAATGAAGACAAAGACAGTTTATTTTAGAAGCATAGCCTGTGTATTTCTTGGACTTGTCAGAACAGCTGGCCTTTGGAGCCCATTCACTTTGACCATGCTCTGCCTTTGTGATCTTGCTCCCTTCACCAGAATCATCTGTGCCTGAATGTGTTCCTGAAAAGACTGTATTCCTTTATGTTTATGCAGATGTTGCATGTTAAGAATGGGCTAAGCTGGGCATAGTGGCACTCACGGTAGGAGGATCATGAATTCAAGACCAGCCTGAACTAGGTAGCAAGACCTTCTCCCGAAAAATTAGAGCAGGCTTGCCTCTGGATTTTCACTTACATTCTTCCTTCTGAATTGGTGTCTCAGAGTCACATGCCTCTTCTGGAACCTGTCCCTTTGAGAGGCCCCATTGGCTTGCAGATATTTCCTGTGAATCATTCTCTGTCATGGCAAGGTGCCTGTGAATTAGGCCTCCTGGGAGGTCTAAGCTGGGGGTAATTAACTCATTCTGTGATCTTGTGCACCATCCTGCCTTCCTCACCTACTCTTTTAACTCCTCACCAGTGTTTCCCTTCCAGGAACTTCTCAGAAAGTACTAAGTAATGTTCTGTATTAGTGTACATGTTTCATTTTGCAGGGAATGACAGAAATAAGCAGCTTTTGGCCTAGTTTAATTTGACTTTGCATCTCCGCTGCTCCATTTCCTGTACCTCAGGTCAAATGCCAGAAGGATCCCTAGCTCTTTCTTCAGTTGTTGCTAATAGCAGTAGCACCTAGCTTTGGTTGATGTTGCTCCTGTTTTTTCATTTCTGCAGAGTCGGGTGCTGCTGTCTGTGAATTCTTTTTGAAAGCTGCCTGTGGCAAAGGTAAGAGACCTGGTTTCTTGACATATCTCCTGGGGTACCCTTGACCACCTAGGCTCCCTGGCAGACATGTAGACTACCACCATCTGGCCTGTCTTACCTCCTGCAGGCTAACAGCATGCACAGATGAGCTGTGGTTTGGATAGGCAAGGAGTCTGATGGGGTTCTGCTCAAAACTTGCCCACAGACTGAGCGTGGCCCTGAGGCTGCTCTGAGAACTTCCTCAGGGTCCTCAAGTTACTGTGTAGCTGAGCCCAGTGTCTGACCATAGGTCTCTGATTTCAGTCTGCACCAGCTCGCTGTTTTCTGGCTTCTTAGCATATGACCCACAAAAACCTTTGTGTGAGGTCCTTTTTACACTTACTAGGCCCCAATAGAGACTGCATGAGCCACACTTTATCTGTTCTCTCATAAATATTGCTGGGCAGGACCTTACTTGCTATGTACAAGTCTGGTTCTTCCTACAGGGAAATTTGTTTGGGAAACCAGAAGCTTGAATAGAGAGTTCTGGATTTATAACAGTCACTTGCCACTGAAGCCATAGACCTTCCAGATAGATAAGTCAGCTTAACCTCACCCTGCCTGCTCAGGGGATCATACTCCCACTGGCTCCTATACTCATTTTCACGTATTTACAATTATTCTGCCTTATGGCCTGCCATTGTCTGTTAACACAACTATCCTTAACATAGGGCACTGCAGCTATTCCCAAGTACAGTGGCCATAAGCCCCATGTGCCTACTCAAATCTAAATTAACACATGAAAAATGTAGCTTCTCTGTCACATATGATGATTCAAGTACTCAACAGCCACAAATGGCTAGTGGATGGTACATTAGCTAGCAGGACTGTAGAACATTGCCTTCCATCATTGCAGAAACTTCTGGAAAGACCAGGTCTAGATCTTTCTCGGTCATAGCCTCATTCTAATTGGCCCTTCTCAGTGGTCCTGCCAGGCCACCAGCTACAACTCTTATATTTCCAGAGGCTGGCTTTGTCCCATCTGGGTGGGAAAGATCCTGCTGCAAAAAGACACCTCTCCCCTTCAACATACATTGCATTTCTTCAGTCGTAAAGTTGATCTTTTTGGAATCTTGAGGCTTTGCAGTTAATTCTGACAAGAGACAGAGCCTCCCTAGAGCCCAGGCTTCTCTTCATCCTTTAAAGTTTGTCCAACTGCACTCTTTCTTTTACCACTCCTACAATTTTTCCATGTCTGTGTACCCGTGGAACTGTTAATAAGGAATATATGAACCTACTCCCATCTCACTCAAATCTTGTTACTCCTCCACATTACCGTTTCTATGAAATCATGATCTAATATATTTATATTTTTACAAACCACCTTAAAATAAAACACAGAGCTACTAAAGTTTAAAATGTTTGCTAGTATACGCCTAAAACCAGACTGCCTTCTGCCACGGGCACCTTTACCACCCTCCAGAACATGTTGCTTTCTAGAAAGTATGGAGTAAAGGCACCTCAGCTGTCTGAGCCCACGTTGCTCCTCACTCTCTGGCCCCTCTTCCTTGGCAGGAGGCATGTGTCCATTCCGCCACATCAGCGGTGAGAAGACAGTTGTGTGCAAACACTGGCTGCGGGGGCTGTGCAAGAAAGGGGACCAGTGTGAGTTCTTGCACGAGTATGACATGACCAAGATGCCTGAGTGCTACTTCTACTCCAAGTTTGGTAAGACACGCAGAATCCTGGGGGGCTCTGAGAATGGAGACCCAGTGTGCCTGCTGAGGACCCACTGTCTCTCTGCCTTCTCCCATCTTTCCAGCTTCTTATGAGAAACTTGGGCAGTCCCTGCCAGCCTGAGTGGGCTCTTCAGTGAGGGATGTCATGGTGATTCTCTGATAGTCCCTCATGTCTTTGGGATGCTCTAAGGTTTGAAGCACTTTGGGACACTGAAGTTAAGTGGAGTCCTGGTGAGCAAGCAGGCAGTGCAATGGACTGGAGACCTCATTTCTGCCCATGGCAGCCTGACCCCTGAAATCCCCATCTCCTTCCAGTGTGGTTTCTAATACCCCTACCTTGGTCTAAATTGGTTTCTTCTCTCTGGAAGCAGGATCCTGGGTAATAGATTGGCCATTCTAACAGCCTTCAGAATAGCAGGTATAGTGGGAGAGGCTATCTTCTGGGGGCAGTGAGCCCTGCTCTTTATCTTGAAACAAAGATTGCTTTCAGCTGTGCTTAGAGAATGTGTGGTGTCACCTGTTCTGAGTGGCCTGCGTGGAGAAGTGGATCAGGGCGAAGGCAGTGGTGCTGACAAAAGAGCTTTGCAGCCAGGGTCTCCGTTCTGGTCTGTTCTTCAAGGTTTCCCAGGAGGAAGTTCTTGCTCAGCTCAAGGGCTGGCTCTGGCCCCAGGGCTACCAACCCCACGCTCAGAAGCCTGTCAGAGGTCTTGTGGTGAGCTGAGGAGTGCTAGGCATGCTTCATTTTTTCAAACACTGTTGATGGAGGAGACACTAATTATTTCAGCATCCCAATAAGCTTGACTTTTAGCTTCTTAATGGTAGTTGAGGCTTGTTTTGTTGAGGCATCATAAGCTGAGAAGTCAAAACAAACAGCAGGGCTCATGATTCCCAGCCCCCCACCCTCTTGAGATCATCAGTCTGCCACATCTGTAGCTCCCTCCCCACATCTGCCCATAGCAACACTAGAATGGAGCAGGATCTCCCCCATAGCCCCAGAGCTATCCCTTAGGGTTTCCTCCTTTCTGCTGAGCACAGCAAACTCCTCATGTCTCTTACATCCCCTCTGCCTGCCTATTCCCTTCAGAGTTTGCCATCATAAAGATGTGCTACCTGCAGCTGTGTTGAGGCTCCCTTAGTCAGATGGTGGTGAAGAGGACAGTCTTGTCCTTGCTCTAGCGAGCCGGGGACAGGGGCAGCTGATAAGCGAGCAACATAAAAAAAGAAAATTGCTTGTGTAAAGTGCCATAAAGGGAATAACAGTGATCAGACCCAGCTGTATTCTCTTTCAGGCTGACTGACCTGGAAGGGCCTTGAGCTGGGCACAAAGAAGGGCCTAGTCCTGGCTGAGGATTCATCTTGGACAGTGGTGGAGCTGGTGTGGCTGTAGAAGGGGGTGCTAAGCCTGTGGAAAGGGTAGAGGGAGGAGGCTATAGGCTGGATTTGTTTCCCTTGGATAGTGGACAGGGTATGTTAGCATAGACTGCAGAGGGCCAGCCTGGAGGTGCCAGGTACTCAGTCACACTGGGAGGTGTGTCTGAATGCTGCCTGCCACCTAGCCTGCTTGCTTCTGAACTGTCCTGGTCCACATGTGTTGTCATCACCAATGCTTACCCCATAGTACCCCATGGACCCTGTCTTGAGCTCCCAGTGGTTGTCCTAAAAGTCAGTTCTTGAACCCTCCCGTCTCAGCTCATAGAGTGAATCAGAGGAGGAAAGTCATGTCCTAGTCTGAAGGGCATATTTACTTATTTGGGCCCCCCACATGCCCATGATGGCCCCTCTGCCTGCGTAAAAGTGAAACAATGGATTTTGATGAGAGTTTGCCTTGGACCAGGCTTTGCTGGTTTTACTATCCCTTCCAGTAACAGCGGTATATGTGAGACCTCCATGGTCCCACTAACATCCTTCCCAGGGCTCAGGGCTTATAAAGCCAAGTCTGATGCCAGAACTACCTGGCCCCTCTTTGGCTTGGAAAAGCTCTGTTCCAGGAGGCCACATGTCTGGGTTTCCTGCAGGGGAGTGCAGCAACAAGGAGTGCCCCTTCCTGCACATTGACCCGGAGTCCAAGATCAAGGATTGCCCTTGGTATGACCGCGGCTTCTGCAAGCATGGTAGGTGCACGATGGGCTAGGCCTCAGGGGAGGGACCCTCCCTTGGTCCACACAACCCCTGCCCCCAAGGATGCCAGCTGACCTTCCTGGGACATCACTCCACCTGTTCCAAAAAAACCTGAGCTTTTTCATCTCCTTCCCAAGCAGGCCTTGTGGGAAATGTGCTCAACTCTTTTTTTCCCCCTAGTACTGCGGACTGAACCCAGGGCTCATATATGCTAGTCAAATGCTCACCACCAAAGTACACCCCCAGCTTTTTTTTTTTTTTTTTTTTTTTTTTAAGACAGAGCCTTGCTAAGTTGCCCACACTGGCTTAAAACTCACAGTCCACCTACCTTGTCTTCCCCAGTGGCTGGGATTACCGGTGTGTGTGCTCACCTGCATTTTGGATAAGGTGACCAATGTGGAGAGGCTGAGTCCTTGCCTCTAGTTCCTTCTCATTTTGAGGCAAAGCCAGCACATGAAGCCATCCTCTGGCAGTGTGAGTGTGGCTCTGGTTGGTAGTGGGGACACTAAAGCATTCCCCTACAGAGGGAACATCTGAGTGACCCAACACTGGGTTCTGCAGGTCCTCTGTGCAGGCACCGGCACACGCGGAGAGTCATCTGTGTGAATTACCTGGTGGGATTCTGCCCAGAAGGCCCCTCGTGTAAATTCATGCAGTGAGTACCTTGCCTACAACTCCTGGCCCCAGCCTGCTGCTGCTGTCTGTGTCCTTCCTGGGAGAAGAGTTTTGGTTACTGGGTGGTTAGTGCCATGGCCTAGGGTGGGGTTGGGAGATGGGGTAGGAACTGCTGCTGATGACTGCGCTGCTTATTGAGCCCAAAGGCAGCTCTGTCTAGATTGCATTTAACTGTTATAGGTCATAGGCCATCTGGGACTCTGAAAGCTATAGGCCCTCTGTCCCAGAAACATGCACAGCATGCCTGTGCCTTCTTTTCTTGGAGCAGCATTTGCCCGAGGCCCCCCAGAGGCATTGCTGAATGCTAGCCCCACTCTGTGTCCATGTGCTTTGGGGTACTTTGGCTTATGCAAGGGCTGGGTGTGGTTTTTCCAAGAACCACCTGGCTTATCTCCTCTCATGCCTCCTCCTTCCCTTGCCTGCATCCTCTCTGGCTGTTGGTACCAGCCCTCGATTTGAACTGCCTATGGGAACCACTGAGCAGCCCCCACTGCCACAGCAGACGCAGCCTCCGACAAAGGTACCGTGCTCTGGCCCCTCCTTGGTCATGCAGCCCCAAAGAAAGAAACTCAGTGTTCGGTCTGCTATAGACCCAGTGGGGAATCTTGTAGGAGGGGGCAAGGGAGGAGGCAGGAGAGAAGGGACAGGAAGTGCCCTCAAGTTCCAGCAGAAAACTCAGGGAGCAGAGGAGAGCGCACATAACCTCTAGAGATGGAGGGCATCTGCCAGACCTGAATTCCCATTTGGCCTCTTCCCTTTTTACCTGAAGCATAGAGCCTCAGCACAGCACAGCCTAAAGCAGGATGACAGGCAGGGCTCAGGAAGTATGTGTCAGAGTGAACATGGGCATGTGCCACTGTGGCTCAGCAGTGTCTGCCTCAGGAACTGGGCTGGATGGCCTGGGCTGGTATCTGCTGCTTTTGCTTCTGGGTCAGATCCTGCCCCTTACAAGCATGGGAGACTGGGACTCCTAGAAGGAGGAACTTCCTGAGGTGACACCACCAAAGCAGTGGCAAATGGAGGAACAGAACTGAGTGTCCTCAGGCTAGCGCCACTGCTACTCCTATGCTAAGATCGGGAATGAAGGACTAGCTGGCTCCAATTTTCTAGATGGCCATGCAGTTGGTCCGTTTCTTAAGGCACCAGAAGAGTGAAATACCTACCACAGACAAGTGGGGATGTTTGGCATGCCCAAAACAAGGACTTCCTGAGACTGGGTTCAGGACTGACGTTGGGCCCAGGGGAAGGTTGGCCCAGGGTTAGGTAGGGCCTCAACAGGTCCACTCATCTCTTACCTGGCTGGGCTCTGAGTCAGTTGCCAAAGGCCCTCCCAACCCTCTTCATTGCTGTAGGCTGAGAGGGAATGTGGCTGTGCTGACCCGTCACAGACCCCCACCCTCAGGAGGTAGAGGCGCCAAGCAAGCTGAAGTCTTCCTGGGGAAAGCCAGGAATTCCCAGGCATGGGTATAGCTGACAGCCTGGGGTTCCTAGCTCAGTCCTGTATGGGGCAAATGCCAAGAACTCACCTGGTTTAGACATGGCCTTGCTGTGGAACCCCCACCCCAGAAGCCCTTGCTCCGTCTTTCTTATGTGACTTCCTGGAGAAGGGCCCTCAGCCCGTAGACCACAGGTCAGCATGCCAGGCTCCCAACTGTTTTTCTGTGACTGTTGCTCGCCGTGTAGGCTGCTAAACATCTGGCTGAACCAAGCGTTCATCCTGACCTGAAGCTAGAACCTCAGAACCAAAAGTAAGGCCTGATCATGCCCCTGCCCCATTGCCCCAGAGACCTCCTCTTGTCTCTTTGGTGTTTTGTTTTCTAATTTTATTTTTCGTTTTTGTGTGTTTGCATGGTGTTTTTCGGGCAGCGGCTCCTGCCATCATCACCAGAAGTTTCTTTTCTGCCTACTGTCCTGAGCTGGGCCATCATGGAAGTCCTCTTCCTGCTGGTCATGCGGGAACAGTCCCGCCCTCTTTTTTTCCTGTCCCCATTGGTAGTCTGCGTGCACGTGTTTTCCGCAGTAAAACCGTGTTGTGTAACTCTTTCCAGCAAAGTAACAATCCGCCATTACAAAGGTCGTCCTCCTTGATCCAGTTAACGAGTCAGAACTCTTCTCCCAACCAGCAGAGAGCCCCACAGGTCATCGGCGTCATGCAGAGTCAAAATAGCAGTGCAGGCAACCGAGGACCCCGGCCACTGGAGCAGGTCACTTGTTACAAGGTGAGTCCTGGGCCTGGGGCAGGGAGGGTCTTCTCTTTAGTCAGTGGCCATTCCCTTATTCCCTTTATGTGTGGTTAATTTTGAAAAATTAGCCAGGCATGGTGGCACACATCTGTAACCCCAGCACTTTGGGAGGTTGAGGTAGGAGGGTCACAAGTTGGAGCCCAGCCTGGGCACCTTTGACCTTATCTCAAAATAAAAAATAAAAAGGGCTAGGTATGTAGCTCAGTGTGAAAGCTTTGGTTTCAATCCTCAGTACAAAAAAAGAAGAAAAAGTTAAAACATTCTTTATTTTGCTGATCATAAGAGAAACAGTGGGCCACTATGTTGTGCTGGAGACCCTACTTCCTGCCTTCACCAAGGCAAAGTGAAGGGAAGAAAAACATGCTGCTGAGTGAGAGGACTGTGCTGCAAGAAAGTGAGAGAAGCTGTGCCCAGTGGTACACACCTGTAATCCCAGCTACTTGGGAGTCTGAGCCAGGAAGATCTATAAATTCAAGCTTACTGTGGGCAATTTAGCAAGACTCTGTCTCAAAAACTAAAATAGAAAAGCTGGGGATGTGCAAAGGCTTTGTGTTCAGTCCCCAGTACTACTAAAACAAAACACAAGACATGAGGGAAATCAAGAAGCTATGAACAAAATGGAAAAAAAGCTTACACTTGGGAGGAATCCATTAGGAAAACACACCCCATACATAAAATGAACATTTGGGGAAAGGGTAGACTTTCTAGAAAAGCTGTCTTTCTCATCCCTGTCTTGGTAGAAAGGAAAAAAAAAATCCCTAAAGAATCTCGTTATTGGCTGATCCTTACGCAAATCTGGGCTATGTTCACATCTCTGGTGAGAAGTTATAAAATGAGTTTCCTACTCTTAATTATCCAGGGATGAGGGTGCTTCTGGCACCTGGCAGGAGCAACCTCACCTGCTGTGTTCAGAATTCCCACAGCTAGAATTCCAAAGAATGAGTTCATGATTAAAATCCCAGAACAAGCTGGGTGTGGTGGCACATGCCTATAATCCCACCACTAGGGAGGCTGAGGCAGGAGTATTATCCTTGCTTTTGGAGCCAGCCTGGCCTAGCTACATAGTGAATTCAAGGACAGCCTGAACTATATAATGAGACCCTGTCTCAAAAAAACAAATCCCAAAACATAAGCTGGTACAATGGTGTATGCCTTTAATCCTAGCATTTAAGAAGGCCTAGACAGGAGGATTGTATACTCAAGCCCAGCCTAAACAATTTAGGCAGATCCTATTTCAAAATTTAAAAAAATTAAAAATAAAAAGGGCTGGGTATGTAGCACAGTGGTAGAAGAACAGCACTGGTTTGAATCCTCATTACTGCCTTAAAAAGATTCCAGTGGGTCATGGTGGTACACACTTGTAATTCCAGCACTTGGGAGGCTGAGGCAGGAAGATCACCATTCAGTTTGATGCCAGCCTGAACTACATAGCGAGACCATCTCAGAAAAATAAAAAATAAATAATTCCAAAATATGCAAGGAAACACCACCAAAGTGAGTCAGCCAAGATAGCCAGCAATAGAAATAGAATCGCAAAGACTGGATTTAGAAGTTAGACAAAATACAAGATCAGTATATGATTTTGTAAAACTTTGAGATGGCATAAAAGCATTTAGGATCCAACCTGAGTGTTGTCCCTCATTGCTGTCCTTCTCCAGAAGAGCCACTGTATCCAACATGTTCTATTTCCAGTTCCTCTTTTACTCACAAACCCCACCAGGACCCCTCAGGCCACATCTGAAGAATTGCTCTTCTAAGCTTGTTATTTATCTTAGTATCATTGGTGCCCTGATCCACAATATATCCCTTTTTTAAAAATTTGCAGTATCTGGAGTTCTTTCCATGGCAATAGATGGAAATCTAATCTTTTTCAGTCTTTATTGAGACATTATTTATGAGTTTTGCTCTAAATAATAGTGCTGAGTCTATAAAGCTAACAGCTATTTGTTAGTCTGATTTCATTGGCATACCTGCCTGTAAGAGGCAGTTCTGAGTCAAGGGGCATCCTTAAAATGTTCATACAGTTTGCCCTCAAGAAAGGGTGTGCCCTGCTGGGAGTGGTACACATCTATAATCTCAACACTGGGAGGATGAGGCAGGATAATGAGACCCTACCTAAAGAAAAAAATAAGGTGATCCCCAGGTTCAGCCATACCAGTCAGCATTTCTTAGTTCCTCCTGTGTCCCAGAGGAGTTTGGATTCTTAGTGGGAAGGACCTAGGCAGGTGCCTAAAGACACTCATAAGGAACATGCATGTGGAAAGACTTCATTGGAGAGATTTTGGAATATAAGCCCTAAACAGCAAGTTTGGGAAGATGGCAGGTGGAGAAGGCAAGGTAGATGGGAGAGATGTCCCTTGCAGAACAGATTCCCTTGTTACTTCTCAAGGCCAAAGGATTTTGCATGTCCTAAGGCAGGTTAGCTATCCTCTTGGCCCAGGCCAGAACTATTCAGCAGGGCCTCCCCTGTGAAGCAAGGTCTCCTAAGTCCTGAGACCTTAGAAAGATGGGGTGGGTGAACTGGACATCCTCTTACCACAGATGTGTCACGCTCTAATATTAAAGGCACCTCCTAGATTCCCCAAGATCAGCTCTGAAGACAGACGGATTTGTTAAGTGCTACGAGCAGGACCTTGTAGTTCCTTTCTTGGTCATCACATTGTATCTACCTGGGGCACTCATTGATACAGAAGTTACCTACAGATCAAATGTGAAAAAATGGGACTGTGGGGTGAGAGGAACAGAACAGACAAGAGTGCTAGGTAGGGATAACAGACAGTGCCTAGAAAGCAAGGACCTGGTGTACAGAGGCCCAGAGTAGCTACCCTCAGCTACCTCCCAACCCTTTGTTTCTTAAGACCTTTGTTCACATTCTTCCTTGTGATTCCCTTCTGGAGTCATGAGAATGGAGATGCAATGGAAAGGCCTGGATAATGCCAGCCAGAACAATCAGGGTCACTCTGTATCTGTCAGAGGTGACTTTACTGTTATAAAGAATCCACTTGTTAAGAAGCAAGCTTTTTTTTTTATTGGTACCAGGGATCGAACTTAGGCCTTTGCACTTGTGAGGCAGGCACCAGAACTACTGAGCTAAATCCCCAGCCAAGAAACTTTGAAAGGAAAGTTTATTCTAGTAAACAGAGACTAGAAATCAGTAGATATTAGCAGATAGCTGAAAAAAGCCGAGTTCATCACATCTGTGTGTGGATGAGCTGATGATGGGAAAGAGAGAGAGTGACAGCTAGCTGGGAGAGATTTCATCCCTGAGAGGATGGGCTAAAGCCAGGAGAGAGAGATTAGCAACTAACTGGCAAAGGAATTAGGCTTATATAGGTATTGAAGGGGCTAAGGAATCTGGGTGAAATAGTTATGACTTAGATCCCCAGGATAGTGTGTACACAATTACTGGACTTCTCGGCACGAGGGAGGGTGTATAATACATTTGAGTCCATTTGCTCTATTTACTAGGAAGCTACTGTTTGCTAAAAGCAGCCTGTTTGCTTTGTCCCATTTGTAAAGGATTCACAAGTCAGACCTGACAGCTACCAGCTGCACTTACTCAAGTCTAACCACTGTGCCCTGACTGTGATCAAAACCTGTCCCCAGGGGTAGCTTAGGTTTACAAGAGCCAGTAAGGAAAGTTGGGGGAGGAGTCTGTTGCTTCTGTTGCACTGTTCCCTCCCATCCCCTCAGAGAGCCCCAGATCTTGGTCAGAGGTAAGTGACTGGCTTGCCATGCAGAGGGGGGTTGGTCCACCTCATCCTACCACCCACTTATGAGTCCCCTGGGGGCAGGCTGGGGTCCAATGCCAGTAAGGAATGGGCTGAAGGAGGTCTGGCTGGGGGTCGGGATCAGGTCATTCTCTAGTGGCCTTGCCTTCCTTTTCTTCACCCCTGCACCTTCTGGACCTCCTGCTGCTGTCTGAGAGGAAATCTGCATTCAGAGAATTTGAGTCTTTTCCCATCTTTGTTTGGTGTGGCTAACTGAAAATTGCACTTGAAAATGGTATTGTACTTTTGTCTCTCCTTTCCTTCCTGCTGTTCCCAGTGTGGTGAAAAAGGACACTACGCCAACAGATGCACCAAAGGGCACTTGGCCTTTCTCAGTGGACAATGACAGCAGCTGCAGCCAGCTCAGAGCAGCCCATGGGGCCCTACTGTTGGAAGCGTGCACTTAACTGCTGAATGTGTGTCAGTTCAACTCTGGCTAGAGCCAGCAGGCACGCTTGCTGGGGGCTCACTGTTCTGAGGGGCCACATCTGTTAATTCCCTATTATGTTTTTTTTTTTTTTAAACAAAGGGACCTGTGCTTCATTTGGGTCTCCTGAGTTGACATCATGTTTGCCTGGGCAAGTGCCTCTTTTCTGAGACTTCTGGCACACACATCCTCATGGGGAGGGAGTAGCTGGGGAGGTTTTGTGCTGTGAGCTGTGTGGAAGATGGTCTTTCCCCTCAGGGCCTTACCAATACCCATTTGGTGAGTCCCAGGACAGTGGATCATTCAGAGCTGTGGCCATGTCCTGCCTGCTTCCTCCATGTCCTGCTGAATCCTGAAGCGGTGCCTATCAAAGTGATTGAACCAAGAGAGCCTTTCCTGGCACACCCAGTATACTTGCTGCCTCAGTTTGGCCTTGGGCCCAGGCAGCAGCAGCTAAGAGGGGTGTGGACCCTCCAGTTTGAGGTTCTTTTCCTGGGCTTATTTTCTCATGAGGCACCTGCTTGACAGTGCTTAAGGTATACCTTCAGCCTGAGCTGCAGACCATCCTTTATACACAGCAGCCCCAGTCCATCTGCGCCTACCTCCTGCTGCTCCAGTGTCTGTACTGTCACTCAAACACCTGTGGCATACAGAGGAGACCAACCTGTCCTTGAGCCTGGAAAATGTGAAACCATCACCTGCAACCTGCTGGGCAAGTGGGCCTATCCAAGTTCAATTATAAGAACAATTTTTACAGAGTTGATTAAAGCTTGTTTTTTAAGCTGTGTCTCATTCTTTTAAGAGATTCCTTAAGGAGAGACCCACCCTGGGTGCACTGCTTGACATGAAGCTGTGATGTTAACTACTTACCAGTCCAATTATTTGTTTTTGTTTTGTTGTTTGAAACAAGGTCTCACTATGTAGCCCAAGCTAGCCTTGAACTTGAGGCAATCCTGCCTCAGCCTCCAGACTGCTGAGATTACAGATGTGTGCCACCATGCCTGGCAGTCCAATTATTTACAAGATGACCACAAATTTTCATTCTTTCCATAAATTTTTATAAAATGAGAAATATAAAAGTGACAATTTTATCACATTTACTCAGTACAAGAATTGACTGGTTGAAATGATGCCTGCCCGAGTGACACTCAAGATAGCATGGAAACAAACACTCTCCAAGTGAGGCTGTGGTAAACTTAGGTGGCTCATCCTGTCTCACCCTTCAACAAATATGATTCATGAGCAGAAGTGGTGTGGCAAGGTGGGCCTCTATATACTGGCAGCTGAGGTCCTGCTACCTGTTGGATTTTTCATGACATTTATCCAAAACTTAGCTCTCCTGAGTGGTCTTGGGCACAGCATTGCCCTGTTGCTTTCCCCCTCCTTTGGTGGGTTCCACGCTGATATGTGCTTCATGCTGATATGTGTTCACCCCTCAAGGAGCAGGCACCCTCTGAAAACCTCTGCTGGATCAGGAAGGAGTGATGAGCACTGGAGAACAGTGAGCTTATGTTGGACTTGGACCTCTCCCTCACCCTACTCTAAGCTTCCTGTTAATGAAGCTGTCTTTTGGAAGGATCATGCTATCTACGGGATCTCCAGATAGTCCTTGGTGACTTGTAAATGATGCCCTAAACTCACTCAGAAAAATGAAGGGAGTAGAACATTGAGGTCATTAAAAATACCCAACCCAGAGCTGTAAGATGCCAGGGTGAGGTCTGGTACTTTGAGGAACTTGGCTTCTTCTATCTAAAGGCACGATTAGGGCTGGGGGTTTAGCTCAGTGGTTCCACCTGCCTTGAAAGCATAAGGTCCCGAGTTCAGTCCCTGGTACAAAAAACAAAAACGACATCACCAAAGGCACAAAGCTCACAGCAGGCCTCTGGGCAGCTCACACTGCCACCTCGTAAGCTGGGGCATGAGCTCAAGTGGTCAACTAGTGGTATGCGGAGCCCCTCAGTGCTGTAGGAGCCAAACCCTGGGCTAACAACTTTACACCCTGGGGTGCAGAGGGATCACAACAATGGTACAACACACAAGCAGCATTTGTACCTTTTATTGACCATTAATTCTCACATAGGCTGTGAACAGATTCAGCCATGAGTAAGCTGTTCACAGAAGGGAGGAGGAGGAGGCAGGTAGTCTAGAGTGTACCCTGGACACTGGCCCTTTTCAGTGGTACTTGCGTCGCCGCTCGTGTTCTGAAGTCAGAAAAAAATAGTAAGTTTCTTCAGAAGTGTTCTAGCGAAAGCACATGACAATAGTGACAGCTGCAGGCAGGCTACAATCATGTGACCTGTCAGTGTCAGCAGAATCAGCAAACCTGGGGCAAAGACATCTCAGAAGTCAATCTGTCATCTAGCCAGCCTCTTCCAAGATACCCACTTAGCTAAAGAGCCCCTAAAAGCCCATTCCTTTAGAATGGGCTTATAGGCACTGATCAGAAATAGCCCAGGAAACTAAGCCACAGACCCTAGCGATACTATTCTAGAACTTATCACCAGACATCATCTGAGACTATCCAAAGTCTTAGAGCCAGGAACAACTGCTTTTCCAGAGCACTGGATAGATGTTGGGTTATAATCACTTAACCTATATCCCTCTTCATATTGGGAAGAGAACCTGCAGTATCTTACAGGATCCTTCCCAAGTATGACTTCTATCCTAGTTTTGTCTTATTTTTCCTGTGTTCTGTATCACAAACAACTCACTTAAAATGCTATCATGTATGCCTCATCCCTACAGTTCTTTCAGGTGGAAGGTAAGGCATCCAAAAGGTCTCTCAGCTAAGAGATGGTAGACTACCATATCTAACACGGAGCAACACCAGTCTCAGGGGGACCTGGAGGCAAGATAATGCAAGAGGCACTTACTAAGTTCCTTGTAAGAAAAGCAGTAGCTGAAAAGCACGTAGGCTGCCAGCACCATGTTAAGTCCAGCGATGCTCCCTTTCTTCACGTTGATGTACTTGTTGTAATACCGGTAGTAACCTGCAATAGAAGAGGCACTCACTGCCCTGCTTTGCTGAGACAGGTTCCGTACACAAAGGAGTCTGGTTGGAATTCTATCAGTCTTGCTCTGGCTCTTCAACCCACTCACCATGCATTCACTGGCTGATAAAGGTAGACAGCACAAATGTTCCATAGGGTCCACTCCCCACAGGCCAAGACCAGCTCCAGAGATAGGCTCGGTTGTGACTTTGGCCTTGATTTTACAGATCTGGCTCAGCTTATCATACCCTCACCTCCAGTCCTGGGGATCCCCTTATCCAAACCTGACTAATTCTGTTCCAGATTTCAACCCCTAGTAAAGGCCACTTGACAGTAGCCAGCTGGGTCAGGTCCTTGGGGAGAAAGACTTCCCTCTGTTCATCTCTTCACTGGGTACCTCACCATGTGTACTTACCAGAGGGGAAACAAACATGCTCTACAGTTGATGTAAATGAATGAATTAATTAGGTTAAGTTTTAAACAAGGATGCCCTGCCACGCATGGTGGCACATGCCTGTAATCCCAGCACACAACAGGCTGAGGCAGGAGGATCACGAGTTTGAGGCCAGCCTGGCCTATGCAGTAAGTTCAAGGCCAGCCTGAATTACAGAATAAGACCCTGTCTCAAAACAAACAAGATATGGATGCCCTGAAGGAGTGAGGCATGTCCATGAACATGAACAGGCCATGTCCACTTCCCTGGCACTTGTGACTAGATTGGGTATTCTGGGCACCCAAAGCCTTAGGGCAAGGCAAGACACACAGCCACAGTGAGGCTAGAGTTAGAAGAGGGGAGGCAAGTCCTTGAATTGATCAGAGACTGATGTGCACAGATTCAAACGCATTCCCTCCACCTTCTCTTTTGACACAGGGTCTCATTATATTGCTCAGACTGGCCTCTAACTCATAGGCTCTCGTGATCCTCCTGCCTCAGCCTCCTAGGAGGCTGGTACTATAGGCATGCACTACTTCATCTTTTTTCCTTTCTTCTTTTTTTGGAGAAGGGTGGTGCTGGGGATTGAATCTAGAGCTTTGTGCAGGCTAAGCAAAGTCTTCTACCACTGAGCTACATCCCCAGCCCATTCATTTACTTTTCTTTTCTTTTTTTTTATTTTGGAATCGGGAATCAAACTCAGGCAGGTGCAGCACAGCTGAGCTACATGCCCTGCTCCGCTCCTTTACTTCTTAAACAAGCTTTAGATATGGAAATGCTTATAAATACTTCTCTAAAATAGAAGCAGAGGTATTGATTCCAAGTACCACATTTTCTTGGCTGAATTATCTTAGAGCCAGCCAATCAAATTTGAGAATCCAATGGCTGTCAAATCTTTGCCCTCTCTATAGAATTTACTTGTCTTGAGACAAGAAGGGCTTTACTGCCCAAATTAATTCGTGACCTGAAGATTCAGAAATTTGCTTTTGTTTTACACACATCCAAAGGACTGACCTCTCTGAAATGCTCCCACAATGCCTGAAGGGGTGAAATCCCGCATCAGTATCCAGCTGGGCAGCTCCCCTAGTTTGACATCCATGAGTTTCTTCTCTTTCACTGGTACTGAAAAGGAAAAGAAAAAGAGATGTCTAAATAATCTCCCAATAATACAAGTAGCATCCTTTTATGTCATTTCAACTACTAAAAGTGCATGATGTAACTATATTGAGGCTGCCCATAATGTTATGAATAAAGTTACTACATCAAAAGCACTATTTTAACCTCTAGCCTGTATAATGGTAGAACTACTACAGCAATAGCTTTATAAACAAAAGACAATAGGATGTCTGAACAACAGCATAGGAATAACTCTAAACCTAGTGAAGATAGCAAAAAAGTGCAGGGAAAAGTATTTTGCAAAACTATCATTTATGTATATATTAGCTTATTTATTTGTCACATGAGGATGATGGGGGTAAGCAAACCCAGAGAGGTTGAGTATCTTGGCCAAGGTCACACACATACAGTATAGATGTAGGGCCAGACCTCAAGACAGGACCCCTGTTTTTGAAACTGAGGATGAGTCTGTCCACAGTCTGGGGACCTGTGGTCACTGAATGATAGGGGATATGGTGGGAGAGCAGCCGGATGTGCACACCATTGATTGGATGTGCTTGTTTATTAGGGAAGGGCTTTGCACTGCACCTGGGTTACCTGTGGCATTGCTCCCCGCAGGTAAGCCAGCCTCAGTACATCCAATAAAAGGAATATAAAGGAAAGCCAGGCATAGTGGTATATGTTTGTAATCCCAGCATTTAGAAAGCTAAGGCAGGAGAATCACCAAGAGTTCAAGGCCAGCCTGGGCCTTATAGCAAAATCCTGTCTCACTGCCCCTCCTAATTTAAAAAAGTAAAAATGCCCACCTCAAGTATCCTACCTGGGACTGCAGAGGTCATTAATTTCCACAGACAGAAACAGACAACCTATCTCAATAACTCAAGTAACTTAGTAAAAACCTTTCCAACAGGTCCCAGACCATATCGCAGTGAGAGTCGGGGAACAAAGCACAGGAAGGGCTCTTGCTTGAAATAGTACTATATTCATCTCTGGGCCCAAGAAGCAAATAGAGTACTAAGCAAGGGGTGGGCCTGGGAGTGTCCAGAACATGCACATATAGAAATTGTCTGCCTTTATCCTTCCCATAAAGACCAGTGTTTAAGTTTTTTAACAGGGCTGAGGGTTTAGCTCAGTGGTTCCGCCGCCTACCATGCAAGTGCAAGGTCCTGAGTTTGATCCCTGGTACCCAAAAAAACGCTTTTTAGCAGACATCCACTTCAGAGCAATGAGTCCAAGAGCACTGTGTCCCTTCTTAAAGATGACCAGCCAGAGGAGCAGGCAGACTAAATTATTCCAAGGTTTCTTCTCCCTCCTTCTGGGCCAACCTTAACAGTCTGTCTGCTAAGAGGAATCCCACAGGTATTCTGACAGCTCCCAACTATGAGCAAGAACAATGACTTTTAGGATGTAACTGGAAATGAAAGGCTTTATGGCTGGCTTTCAGTCTGCTCTGGGTCATCTGAAGAGCCAGACACACAGCCTTAATGAGTTCAAGACTGGGGAGCCAAGTCTCCAAAGGCCACAAGTGACAGAGGCTGCATCAGCCTGTAAGTTACATGCAGGGAGAAGAGACATCATTAAGTGCCACCCCCAAACCTGCCATCTAGCTTCAACCAACCCACAGGAAGCACCTACTAAATGCCAAGCACTCTGCTAAGCAGTGAGAATAGAGTGGTGACCAAATTATACCATTCTTCTTGTAGAACCACCTCCTAACCTGCTGTTCTTCCCCAGGTAACCACATTTCAGCCTAGCCCAGTGATGATGAACCTTTTAGAGCTGCACACTAAGCCATAGGTTTGCCCCTAGCCTCTTTCTAATTCTCCTAGGCAATATTATTCACATGAGGGCCTTTGTATTTGCAGTGCCTTTAGATCACAGAGCCATCTCAAATGTCTTCTTAGAGTCCTCCTTCCCTACCAGCCCTAACTCAAGTAAGCATAATCACTTTCTTCCTCTAAAACCTGAAAGCTCACTTCCTTAACTGTGAAATGGCTTATCCTTCCCAAAAAGACCAGTGTCTTTTATCCCTGGATTAAAAAAGAACTGATGAACAGTGCCAGATCAATGCAGACTGTTATTACTGTTGAAATTTTACTAAGGTCTTTGTAAGAGAGAAACAAAGGGGGCACTCGGTAGAGCGAGCAATGGTATATAAATTGAATTTGGGGACATTTTAAGCAGCCAGGCTTCAGGGATTAATTATAGTCTTTAGTTCTGATCCCCTCCCCCCACTTCGGTACTGGGGATCACACTCAGGACCATTTACTTTGTTTTTCTTTTTTTTCTTTTTCTTTTTCTTTTTCTTTTTTTTTTTTTTTTT